CAACTCCGACAATGACTCCAAGAGGTCAAGAGAAGAATCTGTTGTTGACTTATAGATGATAAATTTAAGTTCACTTCGAAGACCAAGTCGGGCATGGTACTTCACATCAATATCTTTGAAACGTGGTAATTTTTGCCTTGATTTTTGAGCTCAACAATTTCGTGTATATCAAGAGTATACAATACCAATAGAACTTATCCCAGCCATTCCTGCAAAAAAATGGAGAGAAAATTAAAAAATGAGTAGTAAATCTTTTAAATTCTTTTATTGTCTAAAATTACGAGTCTCCCAAATATATAAGGGCGTCTAAAAAAAGTGCTTTGAACGATCGAAGAAGTCAGTCTTGATCTTCAACACAAAGTTCCTTATATGGTCATTGGACCTCAATACAAAGTGTCTAGGACGGTTGAAGAAACCGATCATTAGTCCTAAACACAAAGTGTCTTAGACCGTCAAATGAGCAGTCATTGGTCTCAAGCACAAAGGGTCTTGGACGATAGAAGATGCCAACCTTGGTCCTCAATATAAAGTGCCTTGAAGAATCGAAAGAATAGAAAGTGCCTCAAACGGTCGAAAAAACAAGTCCTTAGTCCTCAACACAAAGTACCTTGGACGGTCAAAGAAGCCAGTCCTTGGCTCCAAACACAATTCCTTGGACGATCAACACAAAATGCCTTGGACGGTCTAAGGAATAGCTCATTGGTCCTCAACACAAAGTGCCTTAGATGGTCAAATGAGTCAGTCATTAGTTCAAAATACATAGTGCCTTGGACGATCGAAAGAACACAAAGTACTATGGATGATTAAAGGAACAGATATTTGGTCCTCAATACAAAGTGTCTGAGATGGTCGAAGAAATATGTCATTGATTCTCGACACAAAATGCCATGGATGATCGAAAGAGCCAATCTTTGGTCCTCAACACAAAGTACATTGGATGATTGTAAGTACATTGGATGATTGAAGGAACACAAAGTACCTTGCATAACCGAAGGAACACGTCCTTCATCCTCAACACAAAATGTCTTGGACGGTCAAAGGAACCAATCCTTGATCCCAAACACAAAGTGTCTTGGACGGTCAAAGGAACAGGTCATTAGTCCTCAACACAAAGTGCCTTAGACAATCAAGAGAGCCAAACCTTAGTACTCAACACAAAGTGTTTTGGATAATATAAGGAACAAGTCATTGGTCCTCAACACAGTCTTGGACGGTCAAAGTAGTCAGTCATTGGCCCCAAACATAGTGCCTTGAACGATCAAAGAAGCCAATCATTGGTCCTAAACACAAAGTACATTGGACAATTGAAGGAACACAAAGTGCCTGGAACGGTCGAAGGAACTAATTCTTGATCCTCAACACAAAGTGTCTTAGACAATCGAAAGAGCCAATTTTTGGTCATCAACACAAAGTACCTTAGACGATCAAAGGAACACAAAATACTTTGAATAGCCAAAGGAACAGGTCATTGATTCTCAACATAAAATGCCTAAGACGATCAAAGGAACCAGTCCTAGGTCCTCAACATAAAGAGTCTTGGTCGGTCGAAGGAACATGTCATTGGTCCTGAACACAAAGTGTCTTGGACGTTCAAAGGAGTCAGCCCTTGATTCCAAACATAAAATGCCTTGGACTATCGAAGGAACAAGTCTTTAATTCCAAACACAAAGTGTCTTGACGGTTGAAGGAGCCAATATTTGGTCCTCAACAATACCTTAGATGATCATAAGAACACAAAGTGCCTTCAATGATCAAATGAACAAATCATTGGTCCTCAACACAAAATACTTTGGACGGTAGAAAGAATAGGTCCTTAGTCCTCAACACAAAGTGTTTTGGACAATCGAATGAGCCAGTCCTAGATCCTCAATATAAAATGTCTTGGACGATCAAAGGAACAAGTCCTTGGTCCTCAAAACAAAGTACCTTGGATGTTGAAAAGTGATAGTCCTTAGTTCTCAATGTGTAAGAATAAGTTTGCAATTTTGAATTTGTTCATAAGTATATATTTTCAACTCCTAAAATAATTGCAGCACGAAAATTTAATCTCCACACGAAAAAAATCTCAAACTTCAAAATTTTCGACTTGCTTCAAAAGTTGAGTACCTGAAAAAAAAATGAAGAATATTACTTTCAATTTTAATAAAATACCCACACACAACAAAAGCAAAATTTGACCCAAAATAAAATGTCAGATAAAATGACAGTTCATAAAAAAATGAAAATGAAGAACAAGAACAAGAAAAATAAAAGAGAGAAAGAAAGTAAAAAAAAAACAAGAAAAAAATGAAAAAGAAGAGAAAGGAAACTAAAAAATGAAATGAAACAGGGACGAAAACAAAATAGAAAACGAGAAAAGAAAACGTTCAAATAAGGGGCAAATGCAGAAACCAACTAGAATTGGTTTCTTGGTATTAGGTTTCTGCGTGAGGCTGGGAATAGGGACGACGATTTGGCTCACCGGCTCGAGCCCCCCATGGCTCAATCCAAAAAAAGCTCGAATCAGCTCGGCTCGAAGCTGAGAAGAACCGAGCCCGAGCCGACCCGCAAGCCATTAAAAAAAAACTTGGAGACAACACAATCCTACCTTAAATAAAAAAATTTTAAGAAAAAAAAAAAAGAGCAAACGAAAATGCGAGCCTGCCTAGCTTGGCTCAGAAAGGCCCGAGCAAATATTCGAGTCAAGCATACTTTTTTTGGCCGAGCAAAAGCTCGACTCGACTCGACTCTAGCTCAAAAAAGCTCGCAAATTTTACCCGAGCTCGAGCCTTGAGTTTCGGCTCGTTGACATCCGTAGTTGGATATGGTCCGATTCGGTTCAGTTCTCTTTAAGATCAAATCGAGCCGAAAATTTCGGGTATTTAGTAAATAGAACCGTCGAATCCAAATATAATTATAAAACCATTCGAGTTCAGTTTCGTACCATAATTACATTCTTTAACATTTACAACAACACTACATAAATATAACAAATATCATATTGAATCATAACTTTTACAAATTAACGAAATTCAATTCAAAAACATATAAATAACAAGTTGTCCAATAAAATTAATTTACCAACATATACAAATACCAAAAAGTAGATACTAATACTAAAATATTGACGATCTATACCAAAAAGTTAGGCTAGGCCTTATGAGATGGAGTATCAATCAATCACCTAATTAGTTAATTTGTTTAGAAAAAATTAAAATAATTTGATTTCATCAATATTAAAAAAAATTAGGATGATTTGGTTCTTCAGTTCTTAGTTTAGAATCGAGAACCGAATCGTATCTATCGATTCTCAATTCAGATATCCATTCAAGTATTTAACTTGAGAATAACTATCAAGTTTGATTTAGTCCGACAGTTTTGCCCTGCCCTAACAAAAATCAAGGAAAAAAACATATAAAAAAAGGAAAACGAGTAAGAGGGGAAAAAAAATCTTTACCTTTGTTTTTAGAATTTAACCAACTTGTTTCCAAATCTCATAAATTCTTCATATAAATAAGCAGGTATGGGACTTCACTCAAGCCCAGTTTACCATAAAACCCTGTTCAAATTAAAATATTTTATGGATTCTAGAAAATAAATAAATAATCAAATAACATAAAAAAATTCTTATTCTCAAATTTGAATGATAAATTTTTTATCTAATTCACATTTCATTCTCAAATGTTCCATCTGTATTAATTTACTAATAAAAAGTTTGAGTTAAAAAAATTCAAACAAAAAAAAATTGAAAATCAATGTTTATTATTTTATTTACTTTTTAATAAATAAATAAATCTTGAAGAGACATTTGTATACATAAAATAATAAAAATAAATAATGAAAATGGTTTGAATCAATTTAAATCATTAGCCCGATTAAATTGAACTTTAATAAAATCCATAAAATTTAAAGGCCCATCTCATTTTATTTTTTTAAAATGAATAAAACCATAATTACTAAATTATTCCTTTTCAATTAAAGATAATTGACTGATTATCAAAATTAGCACGACTTTTTGCTTATAAATAAAAGATCAATAGTCCATAAAAGAGGAGGAAAAAGAGCAAAGAAGAAAGAGAAAAGCAAAGAGAGTGAAAGCAGAGGAGACAATTATGAAGTGCTGAAAAATTTTCAAAGTCGAAAGAAGAGAAGAAATCCCTTCAAATCTAAATCCAGTGAACCTCAAGAAGATCAAAATCTTCTTCGAATCAAACAGGTTCAAATCAAGTCCAAGATGATTAAAGTCTTTTTCAAATCAGATCAAATTCAAGCACAAGTCCAAACCATGAAACTCAAGTGCGAGACAGGTCAAGTATCAACAAATCAAATTTTCAACAAATTCTCAAAAATCGGATTCAAGTCACATGGCCCCTTGTTTTCAAACGTTCGTATCATTAATAAAAAGATTTTTACAACTTTACAATTACAAGAAGATCAACATCACTTGTATTTCTCAAAAAATACAATTTGTAATAATTTCTATTTTTTAATACACAAAATTCGTCAAAAAGACATCTAGCAAGGGTTGTAAAAAATCACGTCTAGGACCTATGTGCTAATTTAACATTAAGTGAAAAGCATTAAGCACTTTAAAGCACCTCTTGACGTGCATTATTATCGTTGTTATATATATATATTTTTTTTTTTTTTTTTTTTTTTTTTTTTTTTTTTTTTCACAGTAAAGAAATTTTTCAACTTTTAGGTACCCCTTCAAAAGTTTACAACAAAATCATTAGAGTTGCCTTGCATAAATTAGTGGACCAATAAATGAGTAAACAACTTTTTAAACATTTCAATCTAGTGGCTAAAAATTAAGACATTTATAATTATAAGTTTTTGGACCTTTCAATCCAATTGATGTAGTAAAAAAAATTAAGAAAATATTAATAATTCGTGCCAAGGAGCGCCTTCAAGAGCATTGACCGCTAAATTAGCACATAGGTCCAACCATTTGTGTCCGAAATGGTGTTAAGAAGGTATCAATGGACATTTCCAAATATATTACTCAAAAGAAACAACACGATACGCCTCATCGATTAGAATTGAGAAAAATCCATCCCTATTGTTACAAACATACGATTCATGGGGAAGTAAAGAAATAAATCGAACAGAGTATATCTTAGTATTTCAAGGAAGGGTAAAAATGTCTTTATATATAACATATTTAAATAGAAAATAAAAAATCCTATTTGGGGTTAAAATGGGCTCACACTTTGGCGAAGCACCTGCTTTCCGTTGGAAAAGAACCAACAAAAGTTCTCTATACTTCTTCACTACTCGTACAGGCTTGACGGAGTTAAGCTGTCTGGAGGGAATAATTTCTTCTTAATCAAGAATGCCTCAACTAGATAAATTCACTTATTTCACACAATTCTTCTGGTCATGCCTTTTACTCTTTACTTTCTATATTGCCATATGCAATGATGGAGATGGAGTACTTGGGATCAGCAGAATTCTAAAACTACGGAACCAACTGGTTTCACACCGGGAGAACAACATCCGGAGCAACGACCCCAACAGTTTGGAAGATATCTTGAGAAAAGGTTTTAGCACCGGTGTATCCTATATGTACTCCAGTTTATTCGAAGTATCCCAATGGTGTAACGCCGTCGACTTATTGGGAAAAAGGAAGAAGATCACATGGTATTGGTCATGCTCTTCTACAAATTTGTTCACACCAAATTATGATCGATTTATTATTTGACCACAAATAATCTAATGTTACATCCAACTCTTGTACTCTCACAATTTCTTTCTCCCACGCGTGACGAAAGATTTTATCTCCTCAAGCTTTATTTGTTTTCCTTTCCTTTCCTTTCATATCACAAATAATTTTCAGTAAGTTTCGTTTGATTGCTTATTCTTTTTACAATTTGTTATTCGTGTTTTGCTCAAAGGAAGGGAACATAGATGATATTTACTAGAGGAAACATAAAATCTTCCACCCTGAGTTGCGGAAAGAAATCGTGGAAGTACACAAGGCTAATGAAATATACATAGTTTCTGAGTACACGGATGAAAGACATAGATACTATGAATCTAATGAAAATTTCAGGGAAAACAGACTTCTGCTCAGAAAACATGAAATTTCTTCTCATGGATTTATTTAAAAATCTCTGAAGTCAGACATCTAATTTTTTTTTTTCATAAATATCACAGCAGAAGTAAGAGAACCAAACCAACTAATAGGCATTTACCTAAACCAAAAAACAGGCATATACCTCAATTAATTAAATCAACAAATCTAAAATAAACGAAATTACAGCAACTCTCACACTCACCAAAATTTATCTGCTCATGCTTCATATCAGAATAGCGTATATTGCCTTGTAATAAAACAGGAAATCATACCGCCGCTACAATTAATTTTACAGCAGATCCAGAGAGACGGAAACTTGATTCTTATTTTATTATTATCAATAAATTTGAGTAAAACTCTTAGGAAATTTTAATAATATAAGAGGAGATCAGAGATTGGTAGGGTTTATCAATCACCGTTTAGTCAGAAACACGGACCAAAGAAGTTATTCGTCATATCTCCTGATTCATTAAAAAGAAAAACTTCTATTTCATCAAAATAACGTAAAATCAAAAATTTATAAATAAAATCATGAGTAAGATGAATTCGAAACTAATGAGATGAGAAATCATCAGAGACTTAAATACAATGAATCACGGAAAATTAATGTATCATATTGTTGCAGTTTTTTTCTCATCACCTGATTTCAATTGCGCAAAACATATAAACAAATCAAAAAATAATCGAGAGAGATAAGCAGAACGAACGAGTAGAGGATTAAGACAAACCCTAACAGAAGATTCGAGAACGAGGTATTGAGTGCTGTTGATCTGTGCCATAGAAACCAATTGAGAAAACGCCTCTACATATAGAAGGACTTTATGATTCGTATACGGCTTGACGGGTTGCCCTTTACAGTAAACTAAATGGCCCCGATTTGTGTTATGGGCTGCATTGAGTTCAAAATTGACTTTCGGCTAAATTTATAATGGAGTTCACTTAGGCTAAGGGCTCCTTTTTGTTAAGGCCTGTTTGATAGACATTATTGAGGGAGAGAAATTGATGTTTTATTTAGTTATTTTTTAAAGAATGTGTTATTGAAAAGTAGAAAAAATTAAATTTACGTATAAAATATATTATTATATAAATATGTTGTCGAAAACGAATATGAGAATTAAATGGTTTTATTTTAAAGGAAGACAAACAGTAGCTAGATATCAAACATTAGGAACAATTCTCAAATCTATATTCATAATCTATAAGCTAATCATTTATTTGGTGGACAATCAATTAAATAATGCGATGAGTGTGTAAAATTAATCAAGAAGCATAAGAATTTAACTAAACTAATAATCTTGAATTAGAAATAAATAACAAATAAGGTTTATCTTCATCTCATACAAAAGATGATCTAATATAGCATATTAATATATAAATTACAAGAAAAATAAAGAAAAATATTGCTCGGATCATGAAAGAATAAAAAAGATGTTGATCTTTAAGTCAAAAGTTGAATTCTTCAATTTCTTAATGTAATTGACATTTAATTCTTGCTAGGACTTGATCCCCTCTTTCAAAATATAGCAATTAGTCCCTTTTTTTTTTTTAATGAATTTGATAATACTATTATGTATGAAGAGATAAAAGAGGGTTTTTTCGAATGTGTAACCTTTTTTCTCTATTTATAAGAGTCAGAAAATATGTCAAAATCATGTTCAATTTTGGTCCCAAAAGAATATAAATTGCAAAAGGAAACTACTTAATTGTCTGCAGAAAAAATTGGCGCGAATGAATTCAGAATGCCAATCCCTTAGAGTCCGTTTGATTGTAAAGATGGAATTGAATTGCCTAGAAAACGAATTTTAGGAAATTGAATTGCCTCGAATTGTTTTCCTGAGAATTGTAAATTATTGTGTTTGATTGATATAATTTTTCACGTGAAAAATGTTGAAATAAAAGTATTTTTTTTATATTCGTTTGATTTTGTTTTACATGAAATTTGTCAATTAAATTGATGAAAATTTACTGGTATTGGAAATAAAATTTATTTCCATTGCCAAAAAAAAAATTTAGAAAATCATCTATCTTTCGGTGCTCATTTGGCTTCATTTTACATGAAAATTGTCGAAGGGAACTATTTTTTCTGCAATAATTCTTACAATTTGTTTTCATTGAAAAAAATAAAAAATCGCTACTGTAAACCGGAATTGGAATTCTTGCCATATAAGCTGGAATTTGCTTCTTCCCAAGACAAGATAGAAAATGAATTCCCTGAAAAAAAAAAGAATTCAAACAAGACAAAGATGGAAAATGGATTTGATTTTCCATTTTTCATGGAAAATTTTACATAATCAAACGGGCTTAGTTCTAATAGATTTCTAATCTTTTAGTTTTCAATGTACTTTACCTTGTACATGTACAGTCTGACATCTATAAATTAATACTTCAATAATTAATAACTTCTTGTAAAATTAAGAGAGAAAAGAACAAGCAAAAAATAAAATAAAGAGGGGGCAAAATTCAAGTATGTATTTCATTATAAAAAGAATTCCTATATAGGGTTCAAAAGATAGATACAGACTGATCGAGATAGAAACATTCGGCAAGAAAACAAATTCGATAAATCAGTAAGAGTCTATCTAGACCTGATACGATTGCACGAGTTACACGAGGTGATAGTTTGTAGAGCTTTTCCATTTACTCAAAGAAACAATGCAAGGGATTGTTACCAGGTGTTGCCTTCACAATATATTTTCTCAAAATTTAGAGCCTCGTTTGTTTCTCATTTATATAAGACTGAGAATGAAAAGTATAGTCGTTACGGATCCCACACAAGATATAGAAATTCAAATATGACAGCTTGATATGATGGATAATAATTATATTTTTCATTTTAATGGAGAAAGAATGGAAAACAAACATGGGCTAGATGTGTTCCCATTTATTTTCAATCAAAGTGACTTAGCTTTTTTTTTTTTTTTTTGGATTAAAATCTGATTTTAATATAAGTTAAGGTAAAAAAAAGAATTAATATTAACCACATCTTTCATGGGTCTCACAATTTTTCAATCACACGTTTCAAAAACTTCTATCACAATCTACTAAAAAATCTAAATTTTGTGCTTTTTTTTATTCTCATTTTTTTCAAAATATATTTTTCTCTATTTTCTTTTCAACCACACGTTCTTTATTAAAATAAAATTACATGTAAATAAAAAAAATTCTTATTTTTTAATCACATATTTTTCATCAATCTACTGTTCTAAAATATATTTTTTCATAAAAATGGGGCTCAAACATCATTAATCTCCACAAAAATTCAACTTTATTAAACGCTCAAACTTTTTTGAGGAACGGTCCAAATTTGTACAGTTCATCAAATTAACATAGGCTTCGTTTGTCTACCATTATACCATATTATTTTTTCAACAGTACTCATTTTCAACCACTCATTATTTATTAAAATAATATTACACGTAAATCAAAAAATTTTCCTTTTTTTTTAACTACACATTTCAATATTAATCACTATTTCATAATACATTATTCATAGTAACCTACCACGAGCCGAGCTCGAGCTCGGCTCATTTATCTGGGACGAGCTCGTGATTTCATGAGCCAACGAGCTCACGAGCCGAGTTGAGCCGACCCCACGAGCCACTCTCAAGCTCGTGATTTTTTTAAAAAAAAAAAATTGGTAAATTTGCACATTTTTTATTTTTCTTTTATAAATTTGCGTTTTTTAACGAGCCCACGAGCTCATCAAAAATGGCTCGTGGGCACGACGAGCCGCTTGTGGGCTTGACGCTAGCTCGTGGGATTTAGCCCCCCTGCTCGGCTTGGGCTCGTTAACGAGCCGACGAGTTGCTCGATCCGTTTGACATCCCATTCGACATGATTTTTTTAAAAATAAAAAATTGGTTCTGAGATTGTAAAATTGCTTTTGAACAGATTCTGATAATTTTTTTAAAGTGCTTTATCTGATTAAATAAACTTTTAGAGAAAATTAACCTAGGAAACTTTTTAACAAGAAGCAAAATTTAAAAAATAGAAGCCCATATCTAATGCCCATTCCCCCTCCCTCCCTATTATAATGCCAACTCGAAATAAACAACCACCCACAAAAAGTGGAAATAAAACACAGTCCATTCACCAATAGCCGTTGAGTTAGTTAAAGGAACCTATAGAAACCAAAAATATAAAAAATAAAGAACACCCGCATTGATTGATCAACGCCATGAGTACATTACAGAGATCATCATGTTCATTCCGGAGGCAGGGATCTTCCGGCCGAATCTGGGATAACCGACTTCCGATGACGGAAATAAAAGCCACCGGTGGAGTCAATTCAAATCTTCCTGTTTCCCCTCCACCTGAGGCTATGGTGCATTCTCCTACCAATTCAGCTTCAGAAACCAAGTCCCAAAGGTGTGCATTGGTATCGATTTTTGGCCGTTGTTTGAAATCGCCAGCTTCTTAGAGGTCTCAATTTCTTCTGGGTACGTTTGATATACAGTATTGGATTGGGTTAGACGCTTATACGCTTTTCGTGTATTTGCATGGAATTTCCGGCCTTTAATTTTCTGTACATTTTATATAAAACATTGTCCTTGTTTTCTTTCCGTGATAGGAGAGAATTGTCTGGCAAGAATGTATCTTTAGCAGTTCAATGTTTTAATTCTATTCGTGAAACAATGAACTTTCAGTTCGATTTTTGGGGGATATTTGAAATATATTATCAATTAGGATTGGACACTAAAGAAGACGGAATTCTAACTTTTTTTCACTTTTATCATTGTCGAATCTTGTATAGCAAACATGCCCTTGAATGTGTTTTTATTGAACTTATAGGCTTTCAATTTTCTGAACATTTAACTTAAAAATTGGGATGTTGGCAATACATATGATTTGGTTTTGTCCAAGGATTCAAGATTCTTAGTTGTTCAATATGTTAATTTCATAAAAAATTGTTATTGATTATATAAAGTAATTTTGAGGTGGACATTATCGGTACAATTTATGTCAATATTGCGTCATCCCTAATTAAAGGAATATTACAAGCGTGAGGAGTAACAACCTAACCTAACCTAAGCACATCTCATGTTCCAGCTATTTTTGGCACTTGATTCGTCAGTATGATGAAAAGAAATCAAGACGAACAACTCTAATTTGGTCAAATCATGAATTTTACTGTCTACCAAAATCGTTGAGAAATTGCAACTTTATATTGAGTTACTCCTCTTGTATAAGAAAATAACTGCCATGCAACGTAAAGGTCTGCCAGACAGTGTGTAGATACTAGTTGACAGCACCTATATGGTTGTTTATTTTTCTTTTTTCACTTTTTCACCAACCACCAATGAAAATGGATAAGTGTTCCCTTGTATAAGCCCTGTCAAACTCTCCCTATACACGTAGCATTTCTCCTTTTATATGTTATACATGTTACGTCATGCAATTGAGCTCGTTAAGTACATTGGATATTCTCCGCCATAGTTAGCATTTGTAACACTCCATAGTTCACATAGTTCAATGGCATTCTTTTTAATTTGCCACGAGTACGTTTTGACAATTTTAATTTTTAATATTATTTGAGTTATCTACACCATCAATATTATTATATCATATATTTGAAAATTAAAAAATTTAATTCCATTCCTTCTGTACCATGTTTGCACATGATTTTGTAGCCTTATTTTAAGTATATTAAATGCTTAAATAAACATATTTCAATTGAAAAAAAGTGTATAACATATAAGAATCTCTTATAAATTAGAAGTGTGCAAAATGGAAATGCTATTGAAGATGATAATTATACTATGGGTAAATATATTTACATAACAGTTTTTAATGACTAAACTATATTTTTATTATATTATAGGTTCATAACCTAACTTATATATCACATTTATGTCTTGAACTCTTTTTCATTATATTA